GCAGATGTGCCACACCTGGCAGCACCAAGGTCCAAATAGTTAGTGTCGGCATTTCGAACTTCCAAAGGATTTTGAAGTTGGGGTATTTAGGGTCCTTAGGATTGAAGGCTCCATTTCCTCAAATCCGGAGTGCGAGTTCAGGAATTCTTATTGGGGGCTTGCAGAAGTCGCCCAAATAGTTACCTCAGCAATCAGGAATAGAAATCTACAACCAATCCAAAAGCAAAGCCAAATTATCAGCTGAGGACAGAGAGGCAGCCGGAGAGCTGGCAGGTGGTGGCGATGAATCACCCGCTGTGTCTAGGCTTTACTCTCACGGTTTCTGATACAACCGGGTGCCCTAAAACTAAACTAAACCCTATAAACCCTAAACCCAACTAAGCCTGATAGCGTCCGAAACCGAGGGGCCGGTGCCAGATGATGGGCATGCAGATGATGGGCATGAAGCACCCGCTGTGTCTAGGCTTTACTCTTGGCACGGTTTCTAATACAACGGGATGCCCGAACACTAAACCGAGGGGCCTGTGCCAGACGGTGGCGATGAAGCACCCGCTGTGTCTAGGCTTTACTCTTGGCACGGTTTCTGATACAACCTTTTGCACCAAAAACAAAACCCTAAACCCAATCAAGCTCAATAGCCGAGGCCGAGGGGCCTGTACCAGATGGTGGCGAGGTGAACGAAGCACCCGCTGTGTCTAGGTTTTACTCTTGTAACGGTTTCTGCAACAACCGGGTGCCCCAACACTAAACTAAACCTTAAACCTAAACTAAACCTTAGACAATTTGAACCCTAAGACCAACAAGCCCGGTAGCATCCGAGGCCGACGGGCCTCTGCCAGATGATGGTGGCGATGGCGACGACACGACCGTGTCTAGATTTCAAGTCTTGGCATAATTTCTGCTAAACCTAAATTTAAACTAAACCTTAAACATTCTAAACCTTAAAAACAACAAGCACGAGCGCATCCAAGGACCGGCAAGGGCCTCGACCTGGGCAGTCGTCGGAGAGCAGCTCCGGGCGGCGGCGGCGCCTGAAGAGGGAGAAGAAAGAAAAGAAAAGGAGGAGGAGGGAATTGGCGGAGGAGGAAGAAAGGAGGAGGAAGATTTTGGAGGAGGATGAAAAGAAGAGGAGGAGGAGGGAGGCGGCGGCCATAAGAGCCGCCCACAAGAGGGCCGTCGAGCTGGAAAGAGCTCGTCGCCCGATTGTGTTGGCGGGGGACGAGTCTCTGGCCGAGCTTGCCCGCCGGCATATGGANNGGATCAATAATGAAGGTAAGCCCCCCAAACTCGAAGCCCCAGGGGTGTGTTGCATGAAGGGCAGGGTTCCTGTCATCGTAACTTTATCAACAGTTGCACTTCCCTCCAAGTCCGGGTTCGCTTCAAGGATGGGATAGACAGGGGTTTTTGGGACTTGGGTTCAGGGTAAACGGATGGACGCCAAAACGCTTGAAGAGTGCAGTTGGGGCTGGAAGTTTAGGAATCCACCCGCCCAGGCCGAGCATCTATTCCTACACATCATGGTGTGTCCCTCAGAAGTTGGACTGCCTTCCGCTTCAGCATGCTGCTGAGCTTATAATAAGGGGGTCAGCAGAGCTCATTGTCATGTCCCAGCAAATGCTTCCTCGCTGATTCATTCGAGCACCTCCAGCCTAGGTTCTGACATGATGCTGGGCTGATGCAGGTCGCAGCTGTTTGTCCATTGCAGGAAATTGCAGGGCGGGGCACGGTTGTTGAACTCGGCCCGTTCATTTCATGGCTGCCAAGTGGTGGCCATGAAATTGATAATTAGCTTTTCAACAGCTACCAAGGGGTGTCTGTTGAAAGTATTGATCAAGACTCATGAACATTTAGCATATTATTCACCCATTCATTTCATGGCTGCCAAGTGGTGGCCATGAAATTGCTGATTGACTGCTCAAAGGCTATCAGCAGGTGACCGTCGAAAGTATTGACTGTACATTCAGATTCATTATTAGGCCCACTCATTTCATGGTTGCCAAGTGGTGGCCATGAAATTGATTAGCTTTTCAACAGCTATCAGCGGGTGGCTGTTGAAAGTAGGGCAAGAAGATGTAGTTCGTCACTTCCATAAGTACATTCCCGGAATTCCCGAAATTAGCTCTAAGTCCTAACCTGCCTGTGCGTGGCACTTTGACAGGTGCGCCCGCGCGGCCAGCTGCAGGCCCCTGTGGCAGCTACTGCTCAGGCAGTCCAGGGGTCACGGGTGTTAACTTGACTTGGAGTAGAATTAGTGGTTGCTTTGTTTTCGGTCGAAGTTTTGAACATTTTGTACTTGGCATTGAACCTGTCTGCTCTATGTTTACTTAATGATGTGTACTTTGCCAATACAGATGTATGTTTGCTCATGTCACAGGCGTGTAGATTTACCAATGGTTTCAGTTTTACCAATGGTTTACCAATGCTTAAGTGTTGGTTTGAACGACATATACTGGCTGGTAGTTAGTACATAGACCGGCTGGGAGTTGGCTTGGATGTAAGAGATTGAGATCCTCTGCAGGTCGC